CTGCGACAGTGTCTGGAGTTTTATACAAAAGAGAATTGAATTGTAGATCAGCTGGGAGGTTATTGTGATAGCCCTGGTGCCCTGTGCCTGCAGGGCACTGGAACCCTGTGGGAGCACATAGCTGGCATTTTTTTTGCTTGAGATTAGGAAGTCTTTTGCTTCCTCTGTGAAGAGGCTTGAATTCAAAGGACTGTTGTGGTAGGATGGAGTCTTTTTCTTGGTAAAAATGAAACAGAGATTTGGCTCCAGTTGTTACGAGGTGGTGGGCAGATGAGCTCTCTCTCCAGCCTTTGGTGGAAAGCAAGTTTAAGAGCTTGCGGTCACATTTTTGTCCGACATCATAGAGAGCATAGAGAAGCTCTGATTCCAGACCCAGTGGAGTGAGAATTTATCTCGGTGTGACTCTCCAAAGACCGTCTTTATTCAAGAAATGTCAGAGGCCCATTTCATAGTAAGTTTCTTCTGAGGTTTTGCTTTGGTTAATGATAAATTCCCTCTCATCACTTAAGGGCTGACGTCATCTCCAGATAGTGGTGTCCCTGAGAGCCTTCCCAAGCCTGGGAGGTACTGACCGGTGGTGGGAATATCAGACTGAAAGGCAGGTCCCCTGTGTTGTATTTTCTCCTGGGCCTCAGTCTGGCTCTGTCTGAGATGTACTAATCATCTCTCTGCCTTCTTCCCAGGCTGTTGGGAGAGAGTGAGAGTACAAGTTTGAAGGAGAATTTAAGTTGCTTTGTTATACTCTGCCAAAGTTTGTCTTCTCAAAGTTGGCTCTTTTGTTAGCATATTCTTTGGAGCAGGACTTGTCTAGGCTCCGGTTTCTCAATTTGGAGAAGAAATTGGACAGTGCCCAACTGCAAGGAGACCGGCATTGAATGTGCAGGATGGTTAAATGAATGTGTGAATGAACGGACAATTGGTTGGATGTGACGAGGAACCTCAGAATGACACAAGAAATATGTTCTGAAGACTGTTTCCTCCAGAAACTAAGTAGATCCTGGCTGTGAAGTAGTTAATACACATAAGCACTGGCAGTTTATTTATTATTATTATTTTTTTAATTTTTTTTTCAACGTTTATTTATTTTTGGGACAGAGAGAGAGCATGAACGGGGGAGGGGCAGAGAGAGAGGGAGACACAGAATCGGAAACAGGCTCCAGGCTCCGAGCCATCAGCCCAGAGCCATCAGCCCAGAGCCCGACGCGGGGCTCGAACTCCCAGACCGCGAGATTGTGACCTGGCTGAAGTCGGAAGCTTAACCGACTGCGCCACCCAGGCGCCCCAGCACTGGCAGTTTAAATATATGGTCCAAGTCATGAATGCAGGGCTTAAGAAAAACCACACGGGAAGGGTATCAGTCAGCTGGGGAGCATCGGAGACTTGGGCCAGGGTTAGGAATTAGATCCTGTGACCTTTATTTAACATTCTTCAGAAAGTGGGCCAGTCTGCACAGCCACCCTCTCGTGTTAGCTGGCCCAGCTGAAGGGCATATGTACTTGAAGTTTCTATCATGTTCACTTTTGCTTCAATAAAAGCATTTAGAAGTTTGGGGTCTTCTATTTGGTTGGTCAGTGATTGTGTCTTTCTTTACTAAGGATCACAGATTAGCATGACTGTCACCCTTGGAAGGTTGTGGGGAAGGAGGAAAAGATTTTCTGTAAGAGTCTAGAGAACTAAGGCCGGTAGAAGGAAGTCAGGGGGAGGCAGGTTTCATCTCAGATACCACCAGCCAACCATGGAAAAGGCTGCTTTAAAGGGTGAGGTACTGGGACGCCTGGGTGGCTCAGTTGGCTAAACATCCAACTCTTGGTTTTGGCTCAGGTCATGATCTCACAGTTTTGGGAGTTCAAGCCTCACACTGGGCGCTGCGCTGGCAGCAGGGAACCTGCTTGGGATTCTCTCTCTCTCCCTGCCCCTCCCCACTCACTCTGTCTCTTTCCCTCTCAAAATAAATAAACTTATTAATTTTAATTTAATTAAAATTAATTTAATTATGTTTAATTTAATTAAAATAATTTAATTATGTTTAAATGTAATAAACATAATTAAAACATAATTAAAGCATAATAAACATAATAAAACATAATTTAAACATAATAAAAAACAATAATAAAGGGTGACATCTTCTTTTGCATGGGGGTGGGGAACATAATGTACTAGTTTCTTTCCAGCTCTCATAGAATATGCTTTCACCCCTTGGAGTCTTATCCCCTGGGAAATTAACCTCTGAATTGCTAAAATCCTTGTATTTTATCCCCACTTGCAACCCTATCAAACAACTGGTCACATTTCTCTCTACAGCCATAAACTCCTATCAGGCATTCTCTCAAAATATCATCTATGAATTCCTCTTTCAGGAAGAGCATGTGGAGAGCCTAGAGAGTGGAAGAGAAGCAGGGTCTATTATACTTTGAGTGAATGAATGCACTTGACTGTAGACATCGAGAACGTGGCTCTCAACTTGAGCAGGTTGTGGAATGGTCAAGAGGGCTTATTAAACACAGATTGTTGGCTTCTTCCCCAAAGTTTTCAATTTGATAGGTCTGTGGCAGGGCCTCAGGATGTACATTGTTAGCTGTTGCCACTTGTGCAGGGACCACACTTGGAGAACCACTGCCCTGGAGGGTAGAGACCTCAGCCAGCCTACTCTCAGTAAGTCCCAAATCTGCAAGGGCTGAGTTAATAAGTTTCAGGGCACATCTTCCTCCTCCACCACATTCTCCTCCTCTTTCATTAAGGATCACTTGTCCCTGCCCCACTGGCTTGAAAGAAAACACTGACCCAGACCAGCGTGTCCCAGATCCAAAGTCACTTCCTCTGGGAAGCCTTCCATGAGTCCCCAGGATTAGATGTTGTGGCTCACTATACTTCCCCATGATAGTAACCAGACACAAGTCACAATTTGTAATGATAATTCATGTGATTTCTTAATTAACATCTCTTTCCCCAAGAGACTATAAAGAAAGCTCTATGAAGGTAGGATTGAAGAAAAGTAGGAAAGAGGGGCACCTGGGTGGCTCAGTCACTTAAGTGTCCGACTTCAGCTCAGGTCATGATCTCATGGTTGGTGAGTTCGAGCCCCATGTCGGGCTCTGTGCTGACAGCTTAGAACCCGGAGCCTGCTTCAGATGGATTCTGTGTCTCCCTCTTTCTCTCCCCCTCCCCTGCTCATGTTCTGTCTGTCTGTCTCTCAAAAAAATAAAAAAACATTTAAAAAAAAGTTAAAGAAATCTTTAAAAAAAGGTAGAAAAGAGGTAAGGCGGCTGGATGGGGGAAGAGTGGTGGATCATCCCCAGGATTATGGAAAAGAATGAAAGAACAGGGGATTTTGTTCCCAAAAAAGTGCCTCCTGAAGGGAAGAGGAAGGAAGGAGGTGACATTCACGAGGATTTTTGGCTCAGGTCTGCCCCAGCTCTGTCTGGCACCAGTCAGACATTTGTCTTCTCTGTTTTCCCCACCAATCTGAGTATTTCACCTCTCTGCAGATTTTATTTTTAATCAAATTTTTAAAAATGTTTATTTATTTTACGGGGCACCTGGGTGACTCAGTTGGTTCAGTGTCCTACTTCAGCTCAAGTCATGATCTCGTGGTCCATGGGTTCGAGCCTTGCGTCAGGCTCTGTGCTGACAGCTCAGAGCCTGGAGCCTGCTTTGGTTTCTGTGTCTCCTTCTCCCTCTCTGCCCCACCCCCACTCATACTCTGTCTCTGTCTCTGTCTCTCTCACAAAAATAAAGATTAAAAAAAAGGGGGTGCCTGGGTGGCTCAGTCGATTGAGCATCTGCCTTCGGCTCAGGTCATGATCTCATGGTTTGTGAGTTTGAGCCCTGCATTGGGCTCTGTGTTGACAGCTCAGAGCCTGGAGCCTGCTTCAGATTCTGTGTCTCCCTCTTTCTCTCTCCCTTCCTTGCTCTCTGTCTCTCTTTAAAAAAATAAATTAACTTTAAAAAATTTTTTAAAAAGTTAAAAAAAAATTAGGGGCACCTGGGTGGCTGAGTCATTTAAGCGTCCAAGTCTTGATTTCAGCTCAGGTCGTGATCTCATCGTTCATGAGTTCAAGCCCCAGACTGGGCTCTGTGCTGACAGTGTGGAGCCTGCTTAGGATTCTCTGTCTCGCTCTCTCTCTCTCTGCCCCTCCCCTGCTCATGCTCTCTCTCTTTCTCAAGAATAAACAAACATTAAAAAAAAAAGCTGACACTTAACAATTCTTTTAAGTGTTTATTTTTGGGAGAGATTGAAAGCATGAGCGGAGGAGGGGCAGAGAGAGAGGGAGACAGAGGATCTGAAGCAGGCTCTGTGCTGACAGCAGAAAAGCCGATGTGGGGCTTGAACTCACGAACCATGAGATCATGGCCTGAGCTGAAGTCGGATGCTTAACCAACTGAGCCACCCAGGCGCCCCTCTCTTCAGATTTTAAAAGTTGAGTTGATTTTTCTAGCTCTGAGCTACTTGCTAGCTCTAAGCCTCAGCTATTGCACCCATAAAATAAAGAGTTAGAGCCCCAGGGTGGGAGAGATCTGAGTTAAAAACCCAGTTCTGCTACATTTTCATGTACATACCGCTGCATTTCTTTGAGCACCTGACTTAGCTTCGGTAAGCTTCGGCTTCTCTGGGCATAAGAAATGGTTTCTGCTTCCTAGCATTTTGGGGGAAGCTTCCGGAGTCAATGCATAGGAAATCTTTAGCACAATGCCTGGCACACGGGAGGGCTCAGTGCACCCGGGCTGCCCTTTCATCACCGTCACCACCGTCCTCTTCACTGTTGTCCCCATTCCTGTCCCCCTCACCCAAGGTTTTTGTGAGGTTCCTATGAGCGGGATAACGCACTTCATAACCAGAAAGCATCCTCTGAATGTCTAGGGCACCAAATGCCCCAACCCCTGCCCACTAGACCACTGGAGCACCCTCTTCGTTGGACACAAGGCCACGCTCTACCCCTTCCAGTCCTTTGGTGGCTCTTGATATTATGACAAATGCATCTTTTGTCCCTTTCTGTTCTCAGGACTCCAACTAACCAACTAAAGAGCTGTTGCCCAGAGCATTGTTCCCGAGGAAGAAAAGAGCTAAGCACACACCCACAACTGCTTTGTGCCAAGAATCTACAGTTGGGTTTGCCAAGCAGCATATGTTGTCCTTTTGGAAAATGAGAGTGAGACCGCATGAAGAGGCAGCAGAGGTGTCTCAAGCCATCTCAAGGCAAGTGAGCGGGTGGCCATGCTGTGTGGTCTCACTCCTCCCTGAGCTAGACCCTCCCTGGCCCTTTGCAGGACCTCCCTTCCTGTTCTTCTCTGTAAGTAAGACGAATAAAAGAATACTCCAGTCTCATGATCTCAAAGGGTAGATCCTGGAGTTGAGACCCACTTATTCTACCGCTGAGGCCCAGAGAGGGACAAACACTTTCCCAAGGTTACACAGACCCAGAGAGGGACAAACACTTTCCCAAGGTTACACCGTGATTTGTAACTGGACCAAAACTTACTACGGTTAGGTCTTTTTGTTTGATGTACTGGGGCTAATGTCATCTACAGTGTTTTTGTTTTCTTTTGTTGTGCTTTGTTTTGTTTTTAAGGCAAATGCTTTTATTGCTCATGGCTTGGTAAACTGTAAAGGGCCGCTCTCCCCTGAGTCTCACTTGCTCCTCTCTGTTGACCTCTGTGTCTAAACTGATGCCACATACTTAAGGGAGGCTGTAATAGAATAGCCGAGAGCTGCAGCCAGCCTGATCTCCAAGCTTAACTTTGCTACTGACCCACTATATGAGGTTGGGAAGTTCCTCAACCTCGATGAGCCTCAGTGTCCTCATCTATAAAATAGGATAGGGGCACCTGGGTGGCTCAGCTGGTTGAGCACCTGAGTCTAGATTTCGGCTCACCTTATGATCCTGGGGTCCTGGGATCGAGCCCTGGGTCGGGCTCCTCACCGAGCATGGAGCCTACTTGGGATTCATTCTCTGTCTCTCTCTTTCTCTCTCTCTCTCTGCCTCTGCCCCTCTTGCACTTGTGCACAAGTGTGGTCTCTCTTTCTCTCTAAAATTAAAAAAATAAAATAAAATGTATAACATAGAATAATATTACTTATGAGGGGTTCTTGCAATTCAATGCCTTGAGTTATTTGTAGCAGTGCCTGACAAATAATACACTCCACAAATGCTAGCTATGATTACCTCTACGTGGGTCGCTTATGAGAAAGATGGGAAGTCAATCGATTCGGGGGTTCACGGTGTCTAAAGACAAGGCTAAAAAGAAAGATATAAAGAAACAAGGCTGGGGCGCCTGGGTGGCGCAGTCGGTTAAGCGTCCGACTTCAGCCAGGTCACGATCTCGCGGTCCGGGAGTTCGAGCCCCGCGTCAGGCTCTGGGCTGATGGCTCAGAGCCTGGAGCCTGTTTCCGATTCTGTGTCTCCCTCTCTCTCTGCCCCTCCCCCGTTCATGCTCTGTCTCTCTCTGTCCCAAAAATAAATAAACGTTGAAAAAAAAAAAAAATAAAGAAACAAGGCTAACCACAGCTGGAAACGAAGAAGGAATCCTGCCATTAGGAGACACAAATGAATCGTGGAGTTTTCTGTTATTAAAAGCCTGGGATATCAAGACTCCTAAATTCAGGTAAACGATACAACAAATGAAGCAACTGTTTTGAAAGTGTGTTATGAAGGTGCCTAGGCCTGCTGTTTGCGAAAGGCAACACTTCGTTTGCACAGATGCTTTAGAATCTGAGAAGGGAGTTCTAGAGACATCTGTGCAAGCCTCGGAGAAGACTGATGGGATCCCAGGGTGATGGGGTAATAGGGGAAGGCCGGCTCCCATGGAACCATGGCGGGCCACTGGAAATGCCACGCGTTTCTACACGAACTCTAGACCACGCAGACTCTTGACAAAAAGCAAGGCTGCTTTGAATGGCCTTCAAACTGAGTGCCCTGGGCCAGTCACGAGGGCTCCTTTTTCCTTTCCGCTCCCATCTCCTGGGTAACAGCAGATAGGAAGCCATGGAAGAAGAGGATGATAGCATAATCCTCTCTGTCTTTCGACAGACCCATGGGAACTTAAGAAATAAATGCTAATAGGGAAGATGTAACCTTCATTCTCAGTAAGGTTGCTTTGGTGACCCGGAGCAGTGTTTGAACTAGATTTGGGAAGTTGCCTGGGTATCAGAAAGGAAGGCAAGAGTGCATTGTGGAATTTGTTGAAGAACCGCTTTGAATGCTCGTGGGCGGCTCTGCTCCTGGCTCTGGCAGGCTCTCCTTGCAGAGGGCCCCGGGGCCGGGAAGCCTAGGATTCACCCCACTCCAGCATTCAGGAGGCCGAGGGCGTGTGGGGTGGGAGGAGAGGCAGCGTGTGGGGTGGGAAGAGGGCTCTGGAGTCTGGAGGATCTGTGCCCATGCTTGTCTCCCCAGGCTCTGCTGTGCAATTTTGAGAAAATGACAGCACCTCTCTGAGTGTCAGCATCCTCATCCCTAAATTAGGATCTTATTATCCCCCTTGTAACGGTGTGCCAGGATCAAATGGGAAAATGGGCAAGAAGTGTGATGCAGTTAGTACTCTGTGATGCCACGCTTTCTTCCTGTGGCATTATTAGTAGTTACTAGGTGACAAAGTTTCTTCCAGCTTCCACTCAGGCCGTGCTAATAGCTCCCTTGAGGGACCTGTGTAGCTGTATGTGTTTATTATTTATTTAATTTTTTATTTTTTACGACGGGGGGTGGGGAGGAAAGAGGGCGAGCAGGAAGGGGCAGAGAGAGAGGGAGACAGAAGATCCAAGGGGGCTCTGTGTGGACAGCAAAGAGCCTGATGCAGGGTTTGAATCCATGAACCGTCAAATCATGCCCTGAGCCGAAGTTGGACCTTAACCAACTAAGCCACCCAGGCGCCCCCGCATAGCTATATGTGATCCTCACAACGACCCAGCGGGTGAGACAGGAGAGTAGTTTTCCGGTGACATGCTGAGGCTTGGAAAGGTTAAGCATCTTCCCTGAGACCCACTGAGGGAACAGGTGGTGGACCCTGGGCCAGAGACACCTCCCTCTCTCACTCCTAGTTCAGGGCTCTTCCAGTGCTTCCGAAGGGCAGGGACCAACTCCCTGGGGCTCAGTTGTCTGGTGCCACATAAAAAATCACCCCCAGACTCAGTGGCTTAAAAGAATAGGCTCACGATTCTGTTTCAGCGATTTGGGTTGAGTTCAGCTGGGTGGTTGTAAAGGAGGAAACACTCCACTTGTGTGTCTCCTCACTGCTCACACTGAACCATTCTGGTTACCAATGTGTGGGGTTTCTTCCCAATCTCAACAAGTCTGCAACACCAGAATTATAGACCGTCCTATGGTTTAACTCAATCCTGACACCATCTACCTGGAGATAAAAGAGGACCTCAACACCTCCATTTTGACCTTAGTCTGTACTTTCTAATGCTTAAATTCTTCTTTCAAGCTTATCTCTTAACTCAGGCAGAAGACCCTGGGGGCAAAGCAACCCAAGTGATTGGAGCTAAAATGACCCCCTCATGCTGCCCTGAGCCAGTAGGACTCTGTGTGGTTGACCCCAAAGCAATGATCGACCTGACCTTTACTGCCAGCCTACATGTACCTACTGACCTTTGTCCCACATTTTCCTTAGATAAACCTAGAAGTATTTTCAGTACTTTCTAGGTGGTCTTTGAGACATTGGTCCACCATCTTCCGGGTGTTGGCCGCAGTTGTTAAAAATAAGCCCATTGACCCAACCAGAGGAGGAATTCGGAGACCCAGAGACCGGTGAAGCAAGACTTTAATCAATGTTCTTGCAAAAGCAGGTGTCTGATGGGCGGGCACACTCGGGGCAGTTACAGCAGACAACTTATCTCCTAGCGTGCAAGTCCGTCCCCTGGTTCCTCATTGGAGTACTACAGAGGTTACAGCCTGACCCGGATGTTGCCTATGCCCCTGTAAGGCAAAAAGTGGATTTATCCTCCCAGACCCTGCCCCTTCCTTGGAGAAAGGTGGGCTGCAGGTTCCAATGGAGTCACAGGGTTGGTTCCCCAGGCAACCAGCCCCATCCTCATTAACATAAATTCATTGTTATTGAAAGTGGCTTGTTAGGAATAACAAGACACTCCTTTCACCTTTATCACTGGACCTATTTCAGAACTGGAGCTATTTGAGGACAAAAGATAGACTATTATAACACAAGATTCTTTCATTGGCTGTAAAAATTTAGGAGATTCCAAGGGTGTTAGGAGCTGTGTGCCAGGAATAGGGACAAAGACCAAGTATCAATTTCTTATAATAAATCACAGTATCCCTGTGGCTCTGCAGACCTGACCTAGGTGTGGCTGGCCTGGGATGGGCTCACTCTTGCATCTTAGTGGGCTTCCTGGTTGGCTGGGGGCTGGCTGGCCTAAGATACTCAGCTGGGATGGCAGTTTCTACCTCCCGGTGCCTCCCATCACCCAGTAGGGTTAGCTGGGGCTTCTTCCCATGACAGCAGTGGCAGGGGTCCCGAGAGCAACAAGAGAGAGTAAGCCCCTCATGTGTAAGCATTTTTCAATTTTTGTTTCTTGTGACACATTGTCCAGTTGGTCAAAGCAAGTCATTGGCTCAAGGTCAGGTGTTTGTGGATGAGAACTACCCAGGGGCATGGATAGAGAGAGGCATGCCCATGGTTGCAGCGATCTGCCATGTGTACAGTGAGCAGGGGAAGAAGGTAAGCTCCAGTCTTACCTTCCAATCATCCAACCCACGATCCTATGCCATGGGCCAAAGGCTGGTTTCTTACTCTGAGAAGTCTTCTTGGATTCCCAAATACACGTAGTTCAAAATAGAGTTCCCCACTCTTCCCCCTGTTTCGGAGTGATGGTGAGATCTGGAGCTGAAGGCCAAGAAAGAATTCTTGAGACGTCTTTGGTGCCAAAATGTGATTTTATATTAAAGCACGGGGATGGGACCCTTGGGCAGAAAGAGCTGCCCCCGGTTGCAAAGAGGGGCTGGTTATATACTAAGCAGTTGGGGGAGGTAAAGTCAAGAGGAAGTTTCTCACAGATTACTGGAGGCCTAGCTGTTGTCAGGCTAAGGTTGTTTTTCCCTCTAGCAAGGCATTAACGTTAAGACAGTGGGGAGTTCCTGGACTTTAGGCTATTGATAAGATTGCCCTTTTTTGGTAGTCGTTCTAAGATACTTGTAAACTGCTGGAGACACTTCCCAGTTTAACCATTTGTTTTCTGTCCTTTCC